GGACGGGAAGAAACCCTAGTTCCAGCTCTGCTGCTGCTGTTTGGTTTGGCCCCTGCTCAAATATTCAGAATCGGTCTCTCTACAAACAAATTACTTACTGTCTATTTCACTGCAGTAATACAAAGACTAATTGCTGTTTGTGAAGTCTTAATTATTCTTTGGGAAATCGGTCTGCATAGCTCAAACTAACAAACGTGGGATATGCACAGCACGCTGGGCAACATTGCAAGTCCAAGCTTGCCTGTCCAGGCCTCTGCGGTAGCGTGATTCAGAAAGTGACTCCCTGGACCTGTGCAGCTCTGACACTGGCTTCTGTTCTTCTATTTCAGACTCTGTCCGTTTCGATGCTGTTGCGCTACTCGCACCATCAGATCTTTGTCTTCATTGGTAAGGATTTTCTAAGGGATTTAGGATGTACTGGACACTGTGCCTGCTCCAGCACAGTGTATCGTGTATATACTCTTGACTGTCGTCATTTAGAAGGGTCCTGCATGTAGCTGCACAGGGAATGTATCCCCCCTATAGCCCCGTCACCGTGCTTGCGAGAGCTGTTCTGTCTCCTGACAGTTGTCAGGGCCGGTGGACTCGGGACAGTGGACTTCACTGCACGTTGCAGTGCTCTGAATGGCGAGTAATGGGGTGGAGGGTTCCGTGGCCCCACATCCACTTTGTATTATAGTATGTTTTCCTTCTTGCAGTTGACCTGTTACAGATGCTGGAAATGAACATGACAATTGCATTCCCTGCAGCTCCCCTCCTCACTGTCATTCTGGCTCTAGTAGGTAAGGACATTACCTCACTTCTTGTGAACGTGCAGCAAGTCCCTTTGGGATCCGTAGAAAGTATAATTCCCTGTTCTGACCTGGCCACGGCAGGTGGTTAGCGTGTCTGCTCATCACAGGGTGGAAGGCTCTGGAATTTGATGGCACAGTGAGCTGCATTGTCCTTCTGGGTCCCCTGGAAAAGCAGTTCATTTGGAAATCACATAAACTGAAGCTTTGTCTGTCACTTTAGTTCATTTCAGATTCACACTTCCTGTGACCACGTTGCATTAGCACAATTTGAATTTAAAAAACAAGCAACACCCCCCCCCCCCCACCCCCCCCCCCGCCCCATCCTCTGGCCTGTGTAGTGACTGCAGTCAGCAGTGAAACATGTTCGCCCTTAGCTGCTGCTTTAAACGGAGCTAATCTGTCCTGCGGTGGTCTTTGCTGTACAGTCACACAGCCCCAGCTGTGGACATGACGGAGGATTCCCCCACACGCCCCTTTGGGAAGCCCTTTGCCGAACTGGTGTCTGTGCCCTGCAGCATGCTGATGTCAGACACCCTCTGTCCTGTAGGTATGGAGGCCATTATGTCAGAGTTCTTCAATGACACCACGACTGCGTTTTACATCATCCTTATCGTGTGGCTGGCTGACCAATACGATGCTATCTGTTGCCACACCAATACGAGCAAGAGGCATTGGCTCAGGTAAGAGCTGGCTGGGACCTGGCTCCCGTATTGCGCGTTCTCACTGCGTGTCCCGTTCTCTGGTGGGAGGCTGCTTCAGATCCTTTCCAGCCCTCCCGGGCAGGAGGGCTTCCACTCTTGAGAGCTTCTGTACGTCTCCTTGGGAGCTGTCCTACCTGTCACAGGCTCCAAAGTGCGATCACTTCCACTTTGGGTCTCATGCCTGGGTCTCAAGAATCACCTCAATCCTTTCCCTGCCCTTTGGTTTGCCCTGTTGAAGGCCTGTTCATAGCGAGGCAATTCTAATTACCTGTTACTGGGAGTCTGCACCACCCTGTGCAAAGCGCCCCAGCTCAGAACGGAGTTAGGAGTGGAAAGAAACTCGCGTTTGTCCCGTCCGTTGACGTATCCTGATATTTATTGCCTTTCTGTCCAGGTTCTTCTATCTGTACCACTTTGCCTTCTATGCTTACCACTATCGATTCAACGGGCAGTACAGCAGCCTGGCTCTCGTCACCTCGTGGCTCTTCATCCAGGTGAGTAGCTGCCACTTCTGCTGCACGTTGGTGCAACCAGCTGCACAGAGGCAGGTGCCATCCTTGTGAATTCAGTCCTGGTCACTCCACCCGCCTCAGAGGGGTCTGGCTGCCTGCGATTTAAACTGTTACGTTGCTGATTGCTCACGCTGCCTGTGCTGTTAAAAAGTGAAGGAAATCAACTGCAGTTGGTTTTTATCAAACTTCTTGTCAAGCTGAGTTTGAGTAGGGATCTTTATGTATGTAAGAGATTGAAATAATCCCTGGTTTGGAAATGGAACAGCAGAAGGAGACTATTGAACAGCAGGACTTTTTGGTCACTGGCTCAAATCCAGCCACGTGCCTGACAGTAGGCTGATGTCAAGTGAGTTTTGGAAGGTGTTAGGGAAGGATTTCTATCCCATCTTTCTGGAAGAAATCCCACTGAGGATATCCCGTGCAGAGGCCGAGGAGTTGGTCATCTGTGCAGTGAAGATGCTGGCAAGACCACCTCCAAATTGATGTCTCCAGTATCCTGGGTCAAGCAAACCTTTTGTGTGTCCCTGGCTGTTGACCTGCCCCCTTTCTCTGCTGCAGGATGGAGACAGGGAACTGAGGATGGGCCAGAGAAGTGCCTTCACCCTTCTTGTTCTCAGCCCTTAAAAGGGAAGGGGGGTTGTACTCCATTGCCTGTCTTCAGAGAGAAACTATAAAAGCAGCTTTCAGGAATCGTAGTAGAAGGGATAAATCTTTCCAAAATTTCAGATAACCTCTCGGCTATCAGAGCAGCCGAATTCTCCAGTCACTGTCTTCACAGCGAGAGGAAAGCATAGTTTTCTAAGGTATGTCTGGGCTCGCAGCCCAGGCCCAAGGAGTGACTCCTTTCCCTTTGCCTTCTCTAGCATTCGATGATTTACTTCTTCCATCACTATGAGCTGCCAGCCATTCTCCAGCAGATCAGGATCCAGGAGATGCTCTTGCAGAACCAGCAGGTGGGCCAGGGGACTCAGACAACGCTCCAAGACAACCTCAACAACAACACTACAGCTGCCCCTGTTGACGTGGGGAGCCGCCGACCCCACCTGGCCGCCGGACCCTCTGGGGAGAGCAGCAGCCCGGCTGCCCTGACGCCCAGCGAGGCCTCCAGCGTCATCGCCGCTGCCACAGCGGCTTCTGTTGGCAGCGACCTGAACTGGGTAGCTGAGACAGCTGCCATCGTTACAGAAGCCTCGTTTCTCTCCGACCTGAGCACTACCCTCCTGGAGCCAAATGTGGTGCACGAAGCCATGGCCAACGGGAACCCTCAGGATGCTGCCGCTGCCTCCAGTTTGGTTGCCCGCATCAGGGTCAGCAGCGACCACCCGGAGACGGCCATGGGCTCCATCACCATCGAGGTCACTTCAACATCTGTGGTGGCTGCAGCAGATGTTCCCCCCGCTGCAGAGGCGGCACCAGCTGTGCCCCTCATCCCGCTGCAGGAGGAGGGGGCCTCACTCCCCAGCCCTTCCCTTCCCGAGCAGACTGAGGCTGTCGAGGGCTCAGACAGCCAAGCAAAACCTGGCGGCAAGAACTGCGTTGCAGACAGCAGCGTGGCAGAGACCCCTCCAGCCTCTGTGGAGGAGGCTGACCAGGACAGACGCTTGGGTCGTGCTCTTGGGGACCGGGGGGAAAGCAGCCCTTGCCCAGCACCGGCGGATAGTACACCTAGCTCCAAACCTTGCTCGGAGCCAGACTTGAGGAGCCTCTCTTGAGTCCCTGTTACTGTAATTCTGGACTGCCAGGAAGGCATTTGGATTTCGTTTGTTACTATTTCTCGCTTCACCGTCATCCTTAACCCATGAATTCCTCTTAACGGAGGCAGAGCAGCTGGGACAGAGGAAAGGTGCTGCAGTGAACTCCCCTGGGAAAAGCACGTGTGCGCTTGTGTGCGAGAGGCTGACGCGCGTGGGGCTGCCGGGAGGGAGGGACGAGGCCTTCCCTCCCACGGCCTGCGAGGCTC